AGAATTTCAGCTCCCTTCAGCTCTCTCTTAGACACTCTCCATCTTTGCTGAAATCTTACCAGGTGCCAGCCTGAGGCTCGGGTCTCTAAACAGAAAAGCAGCAGCAGCAGCGGCCCCGCCCACCGTGTGCACCGCCAGCCAATAAGACTCCAGACAGCATTAAGTCCAAGTCACAGCTGGAGCTGGCCACCTCGGCCTTGCCCCGCGGAATGGATTGTGTGGCCCAAACCAGCCCTCTGACCACAGTGGTCAGGGAGAGTAAACGTCTGCCCCTGGAGATCTGGCTCAGACACTCGGGGGGTCACGAATCTGTGTGAAAGCAGAGGGCACAGGAGGGTCAGGATCTGATCAGCAGGACATGGGGGCTTCCAGGCCCGCCCCCCAGGGGCCGTGAGGAAGGACCGGCTCCCCGGCTGCCCCTGTGGTCATTGCTGGAGTTCCCGTCTGCAGAGTGCAATGTCTCAAGGAGACACGCGTGAAAAAGCAAATCCTCCCCCCACTTCCAAGTGTGCCCCCCAACACACACAGCAACACAACGACCACGGCCTTCCCCCGTGACTGGTCCACAGGCAGTGGAAACCCTGGTCTCTGAGCCCCTCTTTTCTCCTCTGTTTATGATTCTTCTTGGTTCCTGCCTGTTTCTCAGTCGACAGCGCGTGGTAATCAGATCTTTATTCCACCCCCATGCGAGGACAGGACTAATGAATTACTGTACCCGCAGCCACTCTGAGGTCAGGGGAAGAAAGGAATTCAAAATCACCCAGCGAGAGGCGGTTGGCATCGGGGGAAATGATCTAATCCCGGAGAGGGACCGGGGAAAGGATGAGGATGACGGCACATCACTAATTGTTTTCTTTGAAGTCCTCAGTGATTGTCTTCTAACAAGACAGTCCGTGTACAAGACTTTGCTCTCTGTATTTTATGGACAAAATGGAGATCCGTCAAAGCCTTCCATTTGTTTTACAAAATGTACAGGGCTGGGGAAATGGAAGGAGGCTCATTTGCTTTTCTCCCTTAGAGTCTGGGCTCACCTGGGACATTCTTAGTAGAAACTCCTCGGAGCCCCTTCTCCCCCAAACTCCGCCCAGCTGGTGGTTGCCCCGGGGGCCTGGCTCCTCAGCCAGCCTGGGCAGGGCAGGGCCAGGTGGGCAGCTCCAGGCCCACAGGCTGGTAGAAACTGCCTGAGTCTTGTTGCTATGGGACTGGTGCAGCTCTCTCCATCTCAATTCCTTAAACGGCCGCCCACATCCTGCCAGCTGGGAGGCCCAGGCTGTGGAATTCACTCACTCACTCATCAATGATTTATTGAACCCTACTATGTGCCTTGGGCAGTTCTGTTGAACAAAACAGATAAAGTTTTCCTTTGGGAAAGCAGACATTCCAATAAAGAAAAACACACACATGCAGTGTGTCAGCTGATGATAAGTACCAGGAAGACAAGAGGATGGGGTTGGCGGGAAAGGATGCGGTTTTACAGGAGTGGTCTGGAAAGGCCTCTCTGAGGGGCTAACATCTCAGCAGGAATCTGACTGGGGGCGAGGGGCGGAGTGAGGGAGCAAGCAAGAGAGATATCAGAAGGAACAGTGTCGCAGGCAGAGGATACAGCATGAGCAAAGACCTCAAGTCTGGAGATTGCTCAGTGTGTTCCAGGAATAGCACAGAAGCCAGCACACCTGGAGCAGAGCAGGTGAGAGGAAGGGAAGGAGGCAGGAGATGGGTCGGACAGGGAGCCAGGAGCCACAGCTTAAGAGCAGGTTGGCCACACCTTGAGCTGCAGGCCAACTCAGTCGGCAACTCAGTCCCTGCTGGGCTGAAGGGAAGAGCGGCAAAGCACTAATGGCTGCAAGAGACAGTGGCACTTTAATATCCTTCTTGCTGCACATTTAGGGAATATTAAAAGTGCAGGAAAGAGTCATAATGCAAATACAGAAAAGTAAAAATATCAGGTAGCTGGGATTATCAATGTTTACTCCAGTTTTCCTTCCAACCATTGTATAATGCTGCTAAAATGTGTTTATAATGTGCATACACACCGAGTGGCCAGATTATTATGATCTCTGAACACATAATAATCTGGCCACTCAGGGTATATCCTATGTAATAAAAGGCTAATGTGCAAATTGTCCCCTCGACCAGGAGTTTGACCAGCAGGCAGGCCGGCCAATCACCCATGCCCCCTCCCCCTGGCCAGGCTGGACCCCACCCATGTACAAATTCATGCAGTGGGCCTCTAATATATATATATTCACACTGAGTGGCAAGATTATTATGCATTCAGTGATCATAATAATCTGGCCACTCAGAGTGTGTGTGTGTGTGTGTGTGTGTGTGTGCGCGCGCTTGTGTGTTTTAAAGAAACTCAACCAAAAGTTTTCTCAAAGAAAAATAGCATTGCATTCTTTTAAAAATATTTTTATTGATTTCAGAGAGGAAGAGAGAGATAGAAACATCAATGATGAGAGAGAATCATTGACTGGCTGTCTTCTGTATGCCCCAACTGGGGATCAAGCCCAAAACCTGGGCACGTGCCCTTGAACCTGGGACCCTTCAGTCTGAAGCTCTATCCACTGAGCCACACCAGCTAGGGCACATTGCACTCTTTTAACACCCTTTGTTCCTTTTATTTGCACTCAAAATAAGTTGCTTTGGAACCCAGCCTCTATGAGATGAGATGCCACTAGCTCCCTAGAAACTTTTGAGTCACTGGAGACGGCTGTGAGAGCTCAGGTAGGTTGCTCACCCTCTCTGAGCCTCCGTTTCCTCATCAGAAAATAGATATCACATCCATGGGATCTTTGTGAAGAGTAGAGATGATGTGTGCAAAACACCTGACACATGTGAAGAACAAAATGAATGGTGGCTGCTCAGAGCTATCGGCAAATAGGCAACTTTGTTCGGTCGACAAATACTGAGCCTCTGCCTTGTGCCGGTAACACAGCAGTAAGCAAGGCAGGAAATAACTTCATTTTTATCTTCTTTCCCCAAATTCCAACTGTCCAAAAAGACAGCCGTCCATCTAAAAAGCTCAGGAACTATGCCATCCTGCTCGGAGTGCTCGAGTCCCTGGCATGTGCTGGCAAAGAGGGCAGAAAGCAGGTTGCCAGGACATGGGGTTCCCGAGGCATCACTTGGTGGTGAACTGCTTGGCTCCCCAAGACCCGTCTTCTCCCTCCGCTGCTGTCCCTGCTGCTCCGGGAAGTCCCTCCTCTGGCCGAAACCCGAGGAGTGTCACATTATAGACAGTGGCCTGACGCAAAACGCACTCCTGGGGGGATGAGGCCTGCCCCTCTCAATCTCTCTCTCTCTCTCTCTCTCTCTCTCTCTCTCTCTCTCTCTCTCTCTCTCTCTCTCTCTCTCTCTCGATTCATTACTTCGTGTTCCTGAGCTGTTCACCAGCCACACGGCTCCACCCAAGACCGGCCCGCCACCGCACAGGAAGTCACACTGTCCGCCTGGCAGCACCACTTCCCGGCAGCAAAGTGATAAAGGTTTATACGAAAGGGAAGCCGTGTCCTCTTAGGAAATTAACCATTTCTGTGGAGACCAAGAACCTCTCCAGCTGGCCAGCTGGGGCTGGACTAGGGCAGCCACTGCAAGCACCTCTGTGGACAGATGGACAGACACGGGGCTCAGTGCGTGCATCACATCAGGGCTGCCAGGCAGGGACCACCCATCCCATTGTTCAGGTGGGGAAACCAAGGCCAAGCCAGAATCATCACTTACCCACCTGGAAAGAGGACGGGGAGGCTGGAGAACCTGTATTTGGGGGTGTCTTTACATCTTGCACAACCTGGTCTTCCCCGTTGTTAGAAATAATGGGCACAAGCTTTTAGAAATGTAACCGGCCAGGACACGTGGCGATGCAGTTCTGCTCGGGGAAGCTTGGCTGGTTTAGAGGGAGAGCTGTTTGGTTGACTCCCTGATTCTGCTCTCTCCCCTCCCACATCCCCACCCCACCCCCCACTCCCTGCAGATTCAGGACCAGCTGATGCCTGAGCACAATAACTTCAAACCACAGAGTCACCCTTGGAGTGAGCTCAGGGAAATGTTTTCCGAAGGCTAAGAGGCCACGCTGACCCGGAAAGTATGTTTTAAATATAAATCTGATCCGGACACGTTGTATCATAGTTGGCAGGCCTCCCCCACTCGCTAACCTAACAGGGGTGAACTGACTCCTGACGTGTTTTCTGCAGACCAGTCTGTCATGGACAGGTGCTCCCTGGCCCTGCCAGGCCAGATCCCTGCGCGGGACGAGTGGATTCGTGGGAGTGAAATTCCCCATCAGGCCCCGCCCACCCCAGCCGCCCCTCAGCACCAGCCGCTTCCACCCGGACTCCGGAGAATCCTTGGTCTTTTCCTCGGGGCTTGCTGGCAGCCGAGCATACCAAGCGGTCCATTGTGCTGGAGACGTGAAAAACCAGCCAGACTCTCCAGAGGTGAGGTTTCCAGAGGCACCTTTGGAGGGCAGGAAGAACTAGTGGCCCAGAGTTTCCTTAGAGAGGTGGCCTGGGGGAAGTCATGCCCCTTCTCCCGGCCTCAGTTTCCCCTTCTTAAAACGATCGCGGGGTCCCGGTTCCCCCAGCCCTCCCGCCTCCCTCCGAGGACGCGATCCTCCCTCCCGGAGCGCCTTCTCGGCTCGGGGCCGGACTCTCCGGGGAGCGAGGCTGAGCCGCTGGCGCGCAGACCTCCGGGGCCCGGCCAGCACCCCCCGCCCGGACCGGCCGCCGAACCCCCATCCCGGCCGGCCCCGCCCACGAGCGGGTCTCCGAGCTCCGGCGCGCACCCCGCATCCCTCCCTCCCGCGGAACCCCGCCCCCCGGGCCCCCCAGCCGGGCGGGCGGAGGCGGGGCGCGCCGGGGCGGGGCGCGCGGGGGGCGGAGCCAGGCGGGGAATCCTGCTCCCCGCGAGCCGGCGCCGACCCCGGAGAGCCGCCGTCCGTCCGTCTGTCCGTCCGAGCGCCCCGCGCGGGGGGCGGCGGGAGAGCCCGGAGCGGCCGCGCCGGGGAGGACCCGGAGCCCGGAAGGATCCCATCCCCGCGGCCCGGCAGGTGCCCGGCCGCCCGCTCTCCGTCCGGCCGCCCGTCCCCGCGGCCCCGCCGTCAGCTCGCCCTCCCTCCGGGCTCCCGCTCGCCATGCAGCCGCCGCCGCCGCCGGCCCCGCGCGTGTGAGCGCCCGCCGCCGGCCATGCTGCCCCTCCTCGCCGCGCTGCTGGCCGCCGCCTGCCCGCTGCCGCCCGCTCGCGGCGGGGCTGCGGGCGCGCCGGGCCTCCTCGGGGCGCCCCCCAACGCCTCCGCCAACGCGTCGTCCGCGGGCGATCCCGCCGCCGCCGCCGCCCCCCCGAGGCTGCCGGCCCCGGCGGCCCCCGGAGCCCCCGAGCGCGCGGGCCCGGAGGCGGCGGCGCCCTGCAACATCAGCGTGCAGCGGCAGATGCTGAGCTCGCTGCTCGTGCGCTGGGGCCGCCCGCGCGGCTTCCTGTGCGACCTGCTGCTCTTCTCCACCCACGCGCCCGGCCGCGCCTTCTTCGCCGCCGCCTTCCACCGCGTCGGGCCGCCGCTGCTCATCGAGCACCTGGGGCTGGCGGCGGGCGGCGCGCAGCAGGACCTGCGCCTGTGCGTGGGCTGCGGCTGGGTGCGGGGCCGCCCGCCCGGCCGCCCCCGGGCCCCCGCCGCCGCCGCCGGGGCGCCCACCGCGCTGCCCGCCTACCCCTCCGCCGAGCCCCCCGGGCCGCTGTGGCTGCAGGGCGAGTCGCTGCACTTCTGCTGCCTGGACTTCAACCTGGAGGAGCTGCAGGGCGAGCCGGGCTGGAGACTCAACCGCAAGCCCATCGAGTCCACGCTGGTGGCCTGCTTCATGACCCTGGTCATCGTGGTGTGGAGCGTGGCCGCCCTCATCTGGCCGGTGCCCATCATCGCCGGCTTCCTGCCCAACGGCATGGAGCAGCGCCGGACCGCGGCCACCGCCAGCGCCAGCGCCGCCGCCGCGCCCGCCGCCGTGCCCGCGGGGACCACCGCCGCCGCCGCCGCCGCCGCTGCCGCCGCCGCCGCCGCCGCCGCGGCCGTCACCTCGGGGGCAGCGGCCAAGTGACGGCTCCGCGCCTGCTCCCGGCGGCCGCGCCCTCGGGGGGCCTTTCCCGCCGGGAGACGCGGCCCCCGTGCTTCGTGCTGTCGTGTTCGTTAGTTCTTCGGGGGAGGGGTCCGCCGCTGGGAAGACCGAGCGGAGAGGAACGGGACCCTTTCTCCTCTATTGCATCTCCTTGCCTCTTCCCTCCCCCCACACCCACGTGCCCTATATCCATGGCAGAAAATGACCAAATCCTGTGTATTTGTTTTATATCTTGAATAACTGTTTTAAATGAAAGTTTTAGTAAAAAAAAAAAAAAAAATCCAATTGCTATTGCTGGTAGTGAGAGAAGTTCTTTGTACCCGAACACAGTAGCTGAAGTTGTTTTTTTGTTTGTTTGTTTGTTTTTTGTTGTTTTTTTAAATTTATGTCAAAGGGGGAAGGAGCATGGGAATGACTGAACCCTGATCTGTTATTGTTACTGCTGGAAATGAACTTTATGGACCTTTTCCGAGTTGATCTATCCAGTGACGTGTCCTGGTGGGCGTTTCTTCTTGTACTTCTGTGGGTTTTTTTGGCTTTTAATACAGACATTTTCTTCCAGAGTTGCGTATGTAGCTTTTTCTTTATTGGGCTGACAGGATGTCCCCCTGAAAGGTGGAGGAGGGGCTCTTCGAAAGTTAGAGCAGGGCTGGATCTGTCTCCCTTACCGTCTGCGGCTGCGAGAGGTGGGAGAGGGACCCAGGTTGTTAGCCCTGGGGCAGTGGCTTTGCCAGGCCCCACACTGCCCCCATCCCCACCCCTCAGCTCACTGACGTTTGCCATGGTGGCATACCGGGTTTTATGTGATCTATCGCTTTTCCCACTGCCCCAAGCTCAGCACAGCCACCCAGCTAAGTTCCAAAAATGGAAAAAGCAATACTGTGTTCTGTCTGAACCGGGTGTCTCACAGAAATGACTCCTTTTCAAAAGCATGTGGATTTCCTTTTTCTAGGTGTAAACTTCAGCAGATGAGCACATTTCAAAAGCTGGTCTTCAAACCTGAGATCTTATTTTGGCATGAAGAAGATTTTTTTTTAAAGGTAAACTGAGGACTACATCGCTAACGATGGCAAAGCTTTCCTCACTCACAGCATCCATGTTACAATGTCTGCTGAGTAGCGGTTCCAGATTCTTCCTGCTTTTCGGAAAGTAAATGAGAAGTCCTCAAAGTGACTTCATACAAAAACCACTTGAGCAGCTGCTTTGCCTTGCTCCCTCTCCCCACGTTGGAGTGAATAAATGACACAGTTTTAGAGCTTCCGTCCTCAAAGTATGGCCCCTGGCATCGGCATCATCTGGGGACTGGTTCGAGATGCAAAGCAAGGGCCCCACCCTGGACCTACTGAACCAGGGTCTGGGGTGGAGCCCAGCAGGCAGTTTTAACAATCCCACCTATGGATTCTGTTGCGTTTCAAACCTGAGAACCTTCAGCGCATGTAGCCTCCTTTTATCTTGAGATATTTGCTATTACATCAAAGAAACAGGATTCTTTATACATATTATATCATTGATTTCAGAAAGGAAAGAAAAGGGATGGATAGAAACATCCATGATGAGAGAGAATCATCCATCAGCTGCCTTCCTCTAAGTCCCCCATTGGGGATCGAGCCCACAATCTGGAATCGAACCAGGGACCCTTCAGTTCACGGGCCGACACTCTATCCACTGAGCCACACCAGCCAGGGCTGAAACAGGGTTCTGTTTTCATGGGGATCTATCTGAAGGAGAGGCTGGCTCATTGCCCTGCAGCTCCAGCTGCCCCTCGGGCTCGGTGGGATCTAGGGCTATATCTGGCAGAGGCCAGCCTGTGGGAGAGGAGCAGGTGAGCCAGATGGTGCAGACATTCAGAAGTGCAATGTCACGCAAGTCCCCTAGCCTTGCAATTCCCGGAGCGTTGGGCACTGCCCTTTTCTTAGCCCTGTGCTAACTAGCAGGAGAAAAATCAATAACTGCGCATCTTGGTCCATTTTTAATATAAGCAGAGCATTTGTAAGTCTGGAAGCCACATTAAGCATTCCCGGTCCAACACCCACACAGTCACTCTTCCTGCTTTTTCTCCAGGATGGAAAGTGAAGCTCAGAGAGGTTCAGCATTTTGCCTAATATCACACAGCTACATGCAGAGGCAAAGCTGAGGCCAAACCTGGGTCTTGTGCTGCCCCTGCTGGCATTTCTTCAACACCAGACACTTCCTTTCCTTGGAGAATTAAGAGCCAGCCACTCAAGGTCTGCCTCCCCCGTGACCCACCCCTGTCACTGTCATATTCCATGAGTCGCAAACCCAAAGGAGCCAGAGGACATTAATTTTATTTTATCTACTCTTAATATGTTTTTATTCACTTCAGAGAGGAAGGGAGAGGGAGAGAGAGAGAAACATCAATGATGATGCTTCTGCCTGGGGATCTAGCTGCCTCCTGCACGCCCTTCTCTGGGGATTGAGCCCACAGCCCGGGCGTGTGCTCTGACCTGGAATTGAATCATGACGTCCTGGCTCATAGGTTGACACTCAAATATGGAGCCATGCCAGCCAGGCCTGAGGGCATTAATTTTAAATGAGACACTCAGCCACTTCATATAACTTTTTTTTTTAAATATATTTTATTGATTCTTTTACAGAGAGGAAGAGAGAGGGATAGAGAGTTAGAAACATCAATGAGAGAGAGTCATCGATCAGCTGCCTCTTACACATCCCCCACTGGAGATATGCCCACAACCAAGGTACATGCCCTTGACCGGAATCGAACCCGGGACCCTTCAGTCCCAAGCCGACGCTCTATTCATTGAGCCAGACCGGTTTCGGCGCTTCTTCATATAACTTTTTATATGCATGCAATCATTGGGTGGACCCTAATGAATACTGTCTGAGGGTGGATTCGAAATATAACTTCCGAAAGGAAGATTTTTCAGAATTGTCAGGGCCTGTGGGGGAGTGGTTGTGTGCAGGTGGTGTGTGTGTGTGTGTGTGTGTGTGCGCGTTCACATATGTATAAATCTGATGTATCGGTTAGTTCTGCTTTATGCTGATTTTGCCTGCTTTTTGAGAACTTGAACTCTAAGCAGATTACATGGTGAGGATGGAGTCTGTGTCCTTTTGGTCACCTTAGGTTGGCACCACCCAGTGGGTGAGGAAAGTCAGGTGCCAGCAGGCTCGGCTGGGGGGCCTGTGCCCTCCCGGCAGTTTGACCATCTTGGCAGTGCCAAACTTCCAAGTGTGGATTTTACCGAAGGCCAGTCGCTGCCTCTGAGGCAGGAACGGAGTGTGCCATGGCAGCCGGTGCACACATGCGTGCAGGAGCCCAGATCCCAGCCCACCTGAAAGCCTCCTGAGACAGCTGAGTTGCTAGTGACATAGCTAAAAACGCCCCTGCGCTGTTCTTAACTATTCTTAAAATGCTTCTTTATAATCTGAGTGCTACATCATAGAAAATGAGAGCATACCCTTCATAAGATCAATGAGTTAATATCAGCAATATCCCAGCACCCATAAGTGACCATGGCTAATGTTTATCAAGAAATGTTCAACTGTGCCCGGGCCAGTGTGGCTCAGTTGGTGAGCATCGTCCCATGCAGGAAATCACCGGTTTGATTCCCGGTCAGGCCACATGCCCGGGGCTGCAGGCCTGATCCCCAGTAGGGGGGCACAGCAGGTAGCCACTTGCTGTTTCTCTTTCACCCTCTCCCTTCTTCACTCTCTAAAATCAATTTTTAGAGACATATTTAAAAAGAAATGTTCAAATGCATATGTTACACAAATGTTCACCCCAGCAGGTGCCTGCCTCTCAGGGCTCTGCTTTCCCTGATTCTCAGGGACTCTTTTGGGGGGCCCTCCCTCTGCAGAAGGTATTGGAGAGCTTCGCAGGGCAGGTGGTTTACAAAGGCTGACATGTGGGTATAATGCTGACACATGGGTCAAAGGTCAGCTGGACAGGATATTAAAACGCATTCAAGGACCATCTCTATCCAATGGGGATGGGGGTGGGGGAGATGTGCTATGTTTCCCATCCCCAAGTTTATCGCCTCCAGATACAAATCAAAGCCAGACCGAACTTCCCACCCCTCCCGGAGAAAGGCCTCCGCTCTCCCTCTCATGTTCGAGGCCCCGGATGTGGCTGATAAGGAACAGAACATAACTTCGCAGCATGAACAATTCGATGTGTCTCCTCGACTCATAAGCGCAGAGCCGCCTCGCAGCATCTGAGTCTACTTGATGTCTTTGATGCGAAAATGAATTCTGAGATTCAATAAGCAAGAAGGATATTGCATCTGTGCGATGCTGTCCTAAAAGCCGTCACAGCTGCACGTGGCCGGGTAACAGCCACATTCAGACACCCCCCTGCAGGGGCGGGTGCTGAGGCCAGGCCCAGAGGGAGGGAGGAGATGGCCCAGAGGTGGGGCAGTCAGCCCAGGACAGGAACCGTCAGTGGGTCTAATGTATGCAGCACCCTCACAATAAATGGACTGTGTGAAGTTCTCCTGTGATGGGCTCTGTTCCATCAGGACGGGGTTCCCTAGAAGCAGAGCCTGGGCTACAGAGAGCTCTGAGGAGGAGGTGGGGGCACCAGGAGAGGCAGGAGAAGGGCCAAAGCTGGCAGCGCTTCAGACTGCCCCCACGGAGCTTAACAGCAAGAATTACACCCCAGCCCTAACCGGTTTGGCCCAATGGATAGATTCCCTTCACAGGCCTGCAGACCTCCCCCCGTTGCTGGGAGGGTGAGCCTCCATCGACAGATAAATGGATAAACAAAATGTGGTACAACACACAATGCAATATTATTCAGCCTTTTAAAAGGGGAGAACTTCGGACACACGTGACAACGTGGTTGAACCTTGAAGACATTACGCTAAGTGAAAATAAGCCCGTCACAACGGGACAAATACTGCGTGATTCCACTCAACACGAGATACTTCGAATACCCAAATGCATCGAGACAGGAAGCAGAGTAGAGGCAACCAGGGGCTGGGGGAAGGGCGTTACTGCTTAACGGGTGCGGGGTTTCTCTTTGGGAGAGTGAAAAAGGGTTGGAAATAGAGGTTGGGGGTGGTTTCAAAACACTGTCCATGTAATTAATGCCACTGAGTGGTACACTTAAAAATAATTAAAATGGCAAATTTTATGTCATATCTATTGTACCATAAAAGTGTATTTTTAAAAAAATAATAATAAAAGAAGGGTTTGCCTGGCTCCAACCGAGAACTGAACAGGGGCCAGAAAAGATGGGTTTTGTCCCTTACCTGGAACTACGCTGCCCCGCCCCCTGTAGGGGAAGCCCCGCCCCCGTGTAGAAACCACGCCCCCTGTGAAGAAGTCACGCCCCTTTGTAAGTAACCCCGCCCCCTCCGGCGCAGCCCCGCCCACCCCACGCGCTCCCCTGCTGCTGGCCTGCTTGCACAGCGTGAACGGGGGTACCTGGGTTTTCTTTTCTGGTCACCGGCCTGACATTCAGGAGGGAGAGCCGAGCAGTCCCTCTGCCGACTCTGATGCCAACAGTGGGACCCCGGCTGCTGACTCCTGGTGGGCCCGCCGCAGGCCCCGGGGGGCAGACAAGCGCCAGTGGCCCCGGTGG